AGAGACCCCCCAGGGAACCCCAACTTCCCCCCAGGGGCCCCTCAGGCCCCACAGAGACCCCCAAGGTGCCCCCTCCAGTGACCCCCCACCTGTCCCTGTCCCCAAAGACCCCCTGGGATTCCCAACCCCTCCCCAGGGGTGTTTCTTTCTCCCCGGGAGGGTCCCTGGGGGTTATAGATCTGTACAGGCACCTTATAGAGGCCCCACCCTACAGCGCCCTATAGATCCTTATAGGCACCCTAAAGCCCTCTCTAGTGGACCCCACAGACCCCTACAGGCACCTTACAGCCCCCCCAACGGACCCTATAGATCTCCGTGGGCACCTTATGGACCCTACAGACGCCCAGAGGCACCTTATAGTGCCTTCCATGGAACCCATAGACCCCTATAGACCCCAAAACCCCCCAAATCCCCCCCAAAATCCCCCCCCCCCCCCCCGTTCCTACCTCGGCGCTCCCATCCCGCCGCCGCCACCGCCGCCGAACTCTCGCGAGGGCCGCGGCTCTCGCGAGAACAACTCCCCGCTCCACCCAGCAACGCCTCCCTGGGCCCCGCCTCCCACTTCGTTGATTGGTTGGTGCTTAGCAACGAGCCGCGCCCTCCGCCTGTCCGTATTTGCATGCCGCGTTCTGATTGGACAGACGAGACGCGCCCCCGCCCTATTAGCATTTAAGCCACGCCTTTCCTGGCTCCTTAGCCATGCGAGCCACGCCCTTCTCAGCTCATTAGCCATGCAGGCCACGCCCCTCCGCGGGGTTTGGGGGAGTTGGGAGCTTTTGGGGGATTTTGGCGAGTTCTGGGGGGTTTTGGGGGCGTTTGGGCGGCTTTTGGGGGTCTTGGGGGTTTTTAGCGCCCCCAATTGAGTAAAGAGGGCTTTGAGGTCCCCCCAGCTGGTTTGGGGAGGGATTTAACACCCCCCGATTGGGCTAAGGAAGATTTTGGGGTTCCCCCCCTCCCCCTCCTCGGTTTTTGGGTTATTTCAACGCCCCCTCCCCCACGACCCCCATTCAGGACCGAGACCCCCATGAAGACACTTTAATGAATTTGGGGTCCCCCCCTCAAAAAAATCAAGGGGGGGGGGGGGGCTCTGGAGCAGCTTTTGGGGTCCCCTTGAGGGAGGTCAAAGGGGGGTCAAGGGGGGATTCCAGGGAGGGGTTTAATAGGGAGGTTCAAGGGGGGATTCGAGGGGAGGGGTTTTGAGGGGGCATTCAAGGGGGGTCTCAAGGGGGGGGTTCGAGGGGCTCCCGCAGCGCTGGGGGCGGGTCCGAGCCC